TTCATGTCTCGCAGTCTAAAGGTACCTTAACATGAATGGATTTTGACAAACTATAGCTTGTTATGTAGCGGATGAATAGGCCAACAAGCTGACAAATCGGCAAGGCTTCAGGCTTGAAACTTTTGGAGTGAGCCCCAGACGTAGGTACAAGATGCCCCCAGTTTCGTTTTTGTGCAGTAAGTCCCATAGCAAGAGCTGTCAGCGCCTGCTGACATGGCTCTCATGTCTTGCGGTCTAAAGGTACCTTAACATTGATGGATTTTGACAAACTATAGCTTGTTATGTAGCTGAAAAATAGGCAAACAAGCTGACAAATCGGCAAGGCTTCAGACTTGACACTTTTGGAGTGAGCCCCAGACGTAGGTTCATGATGCCCCCAGTTTCGTTTTTGTGCAGTAAGTCCTATAGCAAGGGCTGTCAGCGCCAGCGGACATGGCTCTCATGTCTCGCGGTCTAAAGGTACCTTTACATGGATGGATTTTGACAAACTATAGCTTGTTACGTAGCGGATGAATAGGCAAACAAGCTGACAAATCGGCAAGGCTTCAGACTTGAAACTTTTGGAGTGAGCCCCACACGTAGGTACATGATGCCCCCAGTTTCGTTTTTGTGCAGTAAGTCCCATAGCAAGAGCTGTCAGCGCCTGCTGACATGGCTCTCATGTCTTGCGGTCTAAAGGTACCTTAACATTGATGGATTTTGACAAACTATAGCTTGTTATGTAGCTGAAAAATAGGCAAACAAGCTGACAAATCGGCAAGGCTTCAGACTTGACACTTTTGGAGTGAGCCCCAGACGTAGGTTCATGATGCCCCCAGTTTCGTTTTTGTGCAGTAAGTCCTATAGCAAGGGCTGTCAGCGCCAGCGGACATGGCTCTCATGTCTCGCGGTCTAAAGGTACCTTTACATGGATGGATTTTGACAAACTATAGCTTGTTACGTAGCGGATGAATAGGCAAACAAGCTGACAAATCGGCAAGGCTTCAGACTTGAAACATTTGGAGTGAGCCCCACACGTAGGTACATGATGCCCCCAGTTTCGTTTTTGTGCAGTAAGTCCCATAGCAAGGGCTGTCAGCGCCAGCCGACATGGCTCTCATGTCTCGCGGTCTAAAGGTACCTTAACATGGATGGATTTTGACAAACTTTAGCTTGTTATGTAGCATATGAATAGACCAACAAGCTGACAAATCGGCAAGGCTTCAGACTTGAAACTTTTGGAGTGAGCTCCAGACGTAGGTACATGATGCCCCCAGTTTCGTTTTTGTGCAGTAAGTCCCATAGCAAGGGCTGTCAGCGCCAGCCGACATGGCTCTCATGTCTCGCAGTCTAAAGGTACCTTAACATGAATGGATTTTGACAAACTATAGCTTGTTATGTAGCGGATGAATAGGCCAACAAGCTGACAAATCGGCAAGGCTTCAGACTTGAAACTTTTGGAGTGAGCCCCAGACGTAGGTACATGATGCCCCCAGTTTCGTTTTTGTGCAGTAAGTCCCATAGCAAGAGCTGTCAGCGCCTGCTGACATGGCTCTCATGTCTCGCGGTCTAAAGGTACCTTAACATGGATGGATTTTGACAAACTATAGCTTGTTATGTAGCGGATGAATAGGCCAACAAGCTGACAAATCGGCAGGGCATCAGACTTGAAACTTTTGGAGTGAGCTCCAGACGTAGGTACATGATGCCCCCAGTTTCGTTTTTGTGCAGTAAGTCCCATAGCAAGGGCTGTCAGCGCCAGCCGACATGGCTCTCATGTTTTGCGGTCTAAAGGTACCTTAACATGGATGGATTTTGACCAACTATAACTTGTAATGTAGCGGATGAATAGGCCAACAAGCTGACAAATCGGCAAGGCTTCAGACTTGAAACTTTTGGAGTGAGCCCCAGAAGTAGGTACATGATGCCCCCAGTTTCGTTTTTGTGCAGTAAGTCCCATAGCAAGGGCTGTCAGCGCCAGCCGACATGGCTCTCATGTCTCGCGGTCTAAAGGTACCTTAACATGGATGGATTTTGACAAACTTTAGCTTGTTATGTAGCTGAAAAATAGGCCAACAAGCTGACAAATCGGCAAGGCTTCAGACTTGACACTTTTGGAGTGAGCCCCAGACGTAGGTACATGATCCCCCAGTTTCGTTTTTGTGCAGTAAGTCCAAAAGCAAGGGCTGTCAGCGCCAGCTGACATGGCTCTCATGTCTCGCGGTCTAAAGGTACCTTAACATGGATGGATTTCGACAAACTATAGCTTGTTATGTAGCAGATGAATAGGGAAACAAGCTGACAAATCGGCAGGGCATCAGACTTGAAACTTTTGGAGTGAGCTCCAGACGAAGGTACATGATGCCCCCAGTTTCGTTTTTGTGCAGTAAGTCCTATAGCAAGGGCTGTCAGCGCCAGCTGACATGGCTCTCATGTCTCGCGGTCTAAAGGTACCTTAACATTGATGGATTTTGACAAACTATAGCTTGTTGGATAGCGGATGAAAAGGCAAACAAGCTGACAAATCGGCAAGGCTTCAGACTTGAAAATTTTGGAGTGAGCCCCACACGTAGGTACATGATGCCCCCAGTTTCGTTTTTGTGCAGTAAGTCCCATAGCAAGGGCTGTGATCAACGCCAGCCGACATGGCTCTCATGTCTCGCGGTCTTAAGGTACCTCACTTAACATGGATGGATTTTGACAAACTATAGCTTGTTATGTAGCGGATGAATAGGCCAACAAGCTGACAAATCGGCAAGGCTTCAGATTTGAAACTTTTGGAGTGAGCCCCAGACGTAGGTACATGATAACCCTAGTTTCGTTATTGTGCAGTAAGTCCCATAGCAAGGGCTGTCAGCGCCAGCCGACATGGCTCTCATGGCTCTCATGTGTCGCAGTCTAAAGGTACCTTAACATTATTATTATTATTCTGGTTTATTCATATAAAAACACGAGGTAGGCAGCCACAAAAGAGTCGCTGGTATAACTACGTGTACACTTTACGGGAATTAAAAACATTGATTGATTTTGACAAACTATAGCTTGTTGGATAGCGGATGAATAGGCCAACAACCTGACTAATCGGCAAGGCTTCAGACTTGAAACTTGTGGAGTCAGCCCCAGACGTAGGTACATGATAACCCTAGTTTCGTTTTTGTGCAGTAAGTCCCATAGCAAGGGCTGTCAGCGCCAGCCGACATGGCTCTCATGTGTCGCGGTCTAAAGGTACCTGGATGGAATTTGACAAACTATAGCTTGTTGGATAGCGGATGAATAGGCCAACAAGCTGACAAATCGGCAAGGCTTCAGACTTCCCAGGACCCGTGGGAACTTGTCTGTGAACCAAGCGCTAGGGCGATCGTTTTTGCCGTTTCTCGGCTAACTTTGACAGAATTTTTGTTGTTAAAAAAATGAGTTTGACAGAAAATTTGACAGAATGGATTTTGTTTTGGAAGGTTTCAGCATATGGAGGTACAATGGTTTCAGGCAGAATTCTGCAAAAAATGGTTCTGACAGATAAACAGCTAATTTGAACCAAAAATCGTACATTTGTTTAAAAAGCTTCAATCCTTTCAAACAAACCCTTGCGTAATGGGAGAGGTTCTACTTCTAAATAGATCGATCTATCACTGGGAAACAGACTTTGTCGTGGCCGGATCCACGTACGTTTTGCCCGAAATTTACCTATGTTAATAATTTCATAACATCTTTATGCGACTATAAAATTAATCTGCATGTGATTTTAAGTGTTCATAGCGTATTTCCAGTAATGGGAATTTGGCAGATTTTTGATAAATCTGACCGATTTTTGATGTGCATTTAGCAGAATTTGGCTCTCTGACCTTACGGTCACCCTGGTCCGCACCGCGCCGCGTAGTGCAGTGAACGTGTGTGTACGTACTCTTTGGTACGTACGGATCTAGGGCCCTAGGCCTAGTATCATTTATACTATACTTTACTACTAGTCGAGAGAAGGGGCTCGACCTGAGCTGAGGAAAGTTCGTTTTCAGCCAATAGTCAAGCATGGATGTCAAGTTTGATGGCAAAAGAGCGTTGGTTACAGGAGCAGGAAAAGGTGTGATTATCGTTCAAACAAATGATTCTTAGGCATGTCAATCTATTCAATGCTCATCAGGATTTCCAATGGCAATAGACCGCTTGCAGATGCGTTCCATAATCGACGCGCGAAGGCGCGCGACGCCATGTTGTGGGACAAGCGTATATCTATCTATGCACATTTTGTCCCATAACATGGCGTCGCGCACCTTCGCGCGTCAATTATCGATCGCGTCTGCAAGCGGTCTATAGGCCTGTGAGTGTGTAGCCCCATAAATGTGGCCTATTTACTGGACTGCCTGTGTATTGTTGATGTACCCTAACGTGGCGCGGCCCCTAACGTGGCGCACTTTTATTTTTCGCCTGTAGCGCCTAGCTAGAGCAAAAGTTTTAACTGAAATTTAACAGAAAGTGACATTTCATCAAGTTCTTTACACTCCCGTTCATAAATCGCGAGTTTATTTACCCGTTACAAAGTTAAAAGAAAAAATTATTTTGGCGTGATTTTCCGATTTTATTTTCAAGTGCAAAGTGAACCCTTTGAAAATGCCCCGAAAAATAAGAAAATAATTTTCTGACAAACATTTGGCTGGGTTTGTAAGTAAAGATAATAATGATTTATCAGAATTTATCAAGTTTACAGAAATTCTTAAATGTTAATTTGGAATTTTCTGAGATTTATTCAAGTGCGCCACGTTAGGGAACACTCCGCCAATTTGTGCCCAATTTCCGGACGCGACCGTTTTTGCATTTCGGATTAAATTTTATGAAACCGAAATTGTACACAGAGGTTAAATAGCAAGCATTAAAAAGGTAAAAGTACCAGCATTTCACTGCATGAATTTGAGGTTTATCAACAAAGAGGTTTGCCAACACTACACGAGGAAAGTTGGATAAGCTTTGAAGTGCGCCACGTTAGGGAACACGACTATATATGGAGATCAATGGTTTAGCCACTGTTAAGTTGACATAGCGCCCTCATTCGCCAGACCTTTTTCATGTAAACATGGCAGCGCGCTTGATTTTGCAAAGTGACTGGAACGAATCGCTTTGGTAAGCCGAATTTCACGAAACTGTTTCTAACATAGTGAATTTTATTATTGCATGTTCAATAAGAATTATATTTAAACTGGTGGTGATATACATTCTGTCTCGATTTGCTCTTTTCCAGGCAAAACGAAGGCCAGGCGTGGGTGCTTTGCAAGACACTCGGTAAATTTGACAAGTCATTGCATCTTTTTCGTGAAAAAAAATGTCCCTTTAAATTCTGCATGTCATTTAAAAACAAAATGCACGGTGCAATTATTGTTAGTGTTGGATAAGATTTGCACTAATAATGTACTCATTTGTTTCACTGAAAATTTCACCTTTTCATTTTAATCGCAGTGAATTGCTAACAATCATGACTAATGAGTTTGAAATTGTTTTTTGTTTTGTTTTTGTTGTTGATAATTTCACCAAAAGAAGTGTATTTGACTGTGTCTCAGTGAACTGGTCCCTGATTGTTTTTGCTATAACACTGGTGCCAAAAACTATCTGGTACCAAATAGTGTCCGCTAATTAGCATAATGCAATCTGATTGGTCATGCATCTATGACGTCGCATTGTTTACAAATATAGTGTCCACGCTTAGTATGCATCCTACTGCATGCCTTGCTGTTGAGCTGTCAAGACATCGTACAGCTCTCTATTCACCTGAATTTGCTTTTTACAATCTGTTTAATGTTTTCCTTATTATCATCTGTGATTACTAATGATTCCCTAGTAGTTTAAACGTATATTTGTGCAAAATGTTGGCATTTTTTTCGTGTCAGTTCACCTGTTTGAAAACACCTAGATTTGAATATTTTTATAACATTTGTAACAGGTGAAGGCAGTACCAGCATTCAAGGAGAGTTGAAGTCTCAGGGATTGGATAACAAAGGAATCCCTCAAGTTGTTGCGTCGGAGGGATTCAGAGTTTTGGACATCACAAGGGTGAGACTGCAGTTAGTGTACGGGTAGTAATTGTTGTGATGACTTTCTTTTGCCAAAGTGTCCAGAAATCATCAAAATTGATACCAAGGATTTTGCAGTGTGCCATAGGATCTGAACACAGCATTGGGGTTTGGATGAGACAGGCGGCTTTGAAAGTCAACTATGTCTCAACTAAATATGGCCTATCAGGCCGTTGTTTGTCTCCGGATTCCTTGGCATGAAAGAAATGAGAATATTTCTATTCCCTCTGGATGGGATAGCAGTCCATCCCATGTTACTCCCCAGCTAATGCCGGTACCCATTTATACTCCTAGGTGGAGAGAGGCAAGTGCGGGTGAAGTGGCTTGCCCAAGGACACATGTGGCTAGCAGCAGAATTTGTAGCTGCAACCCCCTGATCACAAGTCAGAGGGCCCTTACCACATAACCACACTCCCCCAAAAAACAGTTTCAGAATAACAAATAATTTTTCCAGTTAAGGTAGATGTTATGTCAGTGCATTTGCTTTTTACCTCAATTTCAACAAGGCCAAGATAAATCAAGTGACTATTTTTTAACAACGACTGGCTGCGATTGTTATGAAACCTGATATAGCTATGCTTTCGCTCCAAGAGATTGATAAGCCAGCTGTGCCTACCAGTCACCTGCTTTTGTCTGTTGATGGAATTTGACTAGTCACAGTGCTTGCTTGAAATATGATCTGCCTGTTGGTGACTAGCCTGTGTAAAAAGCATGACAGGGGAACAGGATTGAATTTTTGACCGTCTGTGACTGATCAAATAAATGGAGGGTTCAACATGATGGATAAGATTTGTCTCAGAATTGAGGATTATGGCTTGAAAACAATCTTATAAGTTTTAAAAAAATCATAAATGGATCTGTTTTGTTTGTGTCGTTTCAGAGGACGATCACTATTTCCTATCCAGAGAAAGATTTGAAGGCCAAATTCCAAGCTGGCAGTGGTGCATTCAGGAATGTCCACACAAGGGGAGTAAGTAATTGAGCATTTCTCTTTAATTTGAGACATCCAACACAAATGTCCAACGCTCCATTAATATGCACACAATGTGTATTTAAATTTGGTTCTTTGTTCTGTGATTAATTTTGCAGATTATTAGTCTGGACATTTCGTCCGGTGGTGCGCTGGGCGTGTCCTCAGATTCCAACGATTCATTAAGAATATGGCAGACGTCGGACGGAACAGTGCGAGTGAGTAATGGACATATGATGCATTCTGTCTCAACCAGACTTTCTTCAGTTTTCTTTGTTTCAATCTACTAAAAATGAATGCAAATGTCTACTCCTGTATATTCCTGTAGAACAAAAGCATACACTTTTTTTTTTTTAATTGTGGTTTGCTCCATTTCATAAAAATAACATAGGGTGAAGTACATGTTATTGACTAGTAACTGAAAATTTCACGTAATTTACATACTCTGTTCCCAAGTTATGAATATTTTAATAAAAAGATCACAAAATTCAGCTGTCCGCCACTGATCATTTAGCGTTCTACGAACTGATGAATACCCATTAAATACAATGAATGAAAAATTGACGTTTTCCCACCACGAATGAACGAAAACACGCAGAGGAAAACAGACACAAATCACTATCAATATTTCAGAAAAAAAACCCCAAAACAGTTGACTTAATTGTTCCTCATATTCAAAACACAAAATCTGACAGTAAAATGAATGTTTGAGTCTTGACTCAAATGATTAAAATCTCATTTTTATTTGAATGCCTGGGTAAGTGGAGTGCCATGGCCTAGCGGTTAAGAGCACCGGACTCATGCTCTGGTGTTTCAAAGGCAACAGTGGCATGGGTTCGAGCCCGGGCCCGGACACTTGTGTCCTTAAGCAAGGCACTTAACCATTATTGCTTCGTCCTTCGGATGGGACGTTAAGCCAGAGGTCCCGTGTATTGTATCAAGCCCAACGCACGTAAAATAACCCAGTAACACTTATCGCTAAGAGAAGGGGTTTGCCCCGGTGTTTCTGGCCTCCTACTTATACTCCCTTGTGGAATTCCTTAGGAGAAGAACCAACCAAGTACCAACCAAGTAATCTCTGGTTGTCACTCAGCTCAATAGCTTTCAATGGCATTCCATGGACAGCTTTAAAAGTAGGTGCTTCATTGGTGTATCATTTAACATAATTATCGATTCAGGTCACTTTCCTTTTGACGCACTCTGTGTTGTATACAATGTTTCTGCTTGCAGAGAGAGCTGAAGGGTCATTTCAGCGAGGTCAGTACCTGTCGATTCTTCCCCTCCGGCGTGGTGGTGCTGACCGGTGGTCTGGACAGACAGGTCAAGGTGTGGTCAGTAGAGGACGGCAGCTGCCCGGTCACTCTGAAGGGTCACACGGGAGGTGAGTAACCGTTCCTTGATTGCTTGGTGAGACATCTGAAGTGGTAAGCAGGTGTCCCAGTTTCGAGTCCCTCCCAAGTCACTCTGCAAACTTTTTTTTGTGATCTCTCAGAAATCACTGATCAAAGAGTGCTTTGTCTCTTACCCTGCAAGACACAACACAGTACATCGGATTAGAAAATAAACCTTTTCACACTAGACTAATCTCGGGGTAGACGCTGGGTTGACGTAGGGTTGAAAACATGCAGCATTTCACACTTGAAACTTTCCCACCCCTACGTCAACCCTGAGATTGATTTCGCTCTGGGTGGAACTGAACCCTGCTCCAGACCAGGGTGGAGATTTTCAACCCGGGTTGAAAATCTCACCAGGGTTCAAAACAGTAGGGACCGAGCGAAATAACCTCGGTTTGCATGAAACAAGTGTGAAACAATGCGGGTTTGAACCTGGGTTTGAAAGATCAAAAACTCAACCCAGGGTGCGGCACTTTGTTCGCCCAGGCTTGAGTTCAACCCGGGTCGAGAGACTCTAGTGTGAAAAAGCCTAAAGTCAGTTGGACCTTGCTGCACTGAGCCATCAACACCAGTACATGAACGGCCAATTTTGAAACAATGAGAGCTGAGTCCCATTGAACAATGCCACAGTTGTATCCTGCTGCATTCGGTGACCACAGACTCTGAGGTAGTTTTGCCTTGTGATTTATCGTTTTGACAAGTGCTGCATGTTGCTGGGTTCGGCAGGGTTTCTAGCCAGAATACCCTAGAGGTTAGCATTAAGAAATTATAACATCTACCGGTATGAAGGGTAAAACTCAATATTAACTACAATAACCTGATGTATAAGCGGTGTAGCCCTCGCAGTGCCCATTTCAATTTTGGAGATAACTAAGAAGAAGCGAAGCAATTGCAGTAATGTGTCCTGCCGAAGGACACAACCAAATGTACCATTCGTTTATAGTCTAGTGCCCCCATTCTTTTGCCAAAGTGTTTTTATCCCTTGGCACTGAGGGTAAAATGTCATGGAAGTAGATGTACATCAGTGAAGGGCAAAAATTCCTAAGATATTTAAATTTTCATTTTAGCATTGTAAATTATTTGTGAATCCAACCCGTAGGCGTATCCTGCATGGCCATTGTGGATAAAGGCCGAAATATTGTCACTGGTTCCCGTGATGGCACAGCCAGGCTATGGAACTGCGGCAACTCCAAGTGCCTGGCGACCGTTCACAGCATCAAGGGTTTTATCAACGCATGCGCCATCGGCGAGGTCCATGAGTCCGTCGACCTCGGAACTCCAGGAAAACCACCAGGTGAGGCAAAGATAATACAGACAGATTTTCTTTGCTCATTATGAGGTTGGAACTGGCGAGTTTCATAAGAAAATTGTCTTTATACTCTCTGCACGTATGACTTCTGACAAATACCCACTTAAGCACTTCGCACTGGGATTATTTTTGCCAAAAATTTTGATTTTTGCAAAAGGCAAAATTGTCCAGCCAACTTCTGATATACAGCCAAATACAAAAAACTGATTCGCAAGAGTCATTTCAACAGTATTTGTACGTTATTTCTTGCCGAAACCTCATATGTTCAGTACTCCGGGTGTGCCCTGGAGAGTAATTGTACAACAATAGGCAGTGCAAAATGGCCATTGACAAATGAGGAAATTGTTGTCATAAGAAATTTTCCCATTTTTTTCATCTTCAAAATGTAGCAGTTTTACATTCTTAGCTAATCTCAACTTCAGCAAATAAAACAGAGAATGGTTTTATTAGGCTTTATGCAGACTGAGGCTGCTTGCTTTGACTGTGCATGGTCATGGGCAACGAAATTTGATCTTTAAATGTTCAAATGTTGTTAATATCTGAATAGAAACAATTACCGTTTTCTTTTTAAATCATAGCGGAGGAAGAGTGTGGTACAGCAGGGAAGATGTTGCTATTAGCAACCGAGGGAGGCGAGCTGATTGGTGTAGGGCTACATAGCAGGAAAAAGGTGGGCAGCAATATGGGGACGAAAACTATATAAAAATTGTTCCGGAACAGAAGTTATCTCTCTCTGTGAAACCAATCAAGAGGTAATCGTAAGCCGAGTGCAAAACATTCAGAGGGGTCTGGTGTTTAGCAAGATTGGACTACAACTTGTTTTTGTCTATTATCCTCGGGAATTATAGGTAATATACAACATTTGTAAACATCAACAGCAACAAAACTACCAAATGATTATGAAATACCTCACTTGACTGCAAGTGAGTAATAGTCTAGAGCATCCTGTGAAATCATGGCACCTGGTGTGCTGTCATTTTCAAGAAAAGAGGAATTTTTGTATCAATTTCCAATGATGAACAGCTGGAAAAAGTGCCTTTTTTTCCAAACACTGCCCCAAATTTACCAAATTCGGTTAGTCTACATGTTGTTTGCAATCGGTTTCACATCCGTGAACGGGTGCAAGCCAGCTAGTCTGGTTCCCTGACCTGACAATTCCCAACATCTATAAATTGCAGCGTTTTGTCTGAAGTAGGGTCAGGGAACCAGACTTAACAACAACAGCATTTTGTTTCCTTGGTTTTTCTAGCATCTATGAACACAAAACTTTAAAACAACAGCGGTCGATGGTTACATTTGAAATCCTTTTTGTACTTTTCCCAGATTTTCCAAGTCGAGGGTTCGGCTGCCTTCAACTGCTGCGCGTTCCTGTCCAACGACTCGGTGGTTGCCGGGAGCCAAGATGGATCTATTCACATCTTAGATGTTAGAAATCACAGGTGGGCTGTTGAAAATCCTTTGTCATTATTTTTTGTTTGAAAAACCGTATCCTCTCTGAGTGGTACCCGTTTGCTATTTCTCCAGTTTGCAGCATTGCTGATGTTGCTAGTATCGTGACTTTGGGCGCGATCCCTGGCTACATGGCATATACATGTTTATGGCTTCTGGCTAGCACCTCGTGAACAGAGACATTGACAAAATGGGCATGGGCCAGAATCGGGATGGATCGCTCAGTTGGTAGAGCACCGGAACGGCAATCCGGAGGACGGAGGTTCAAACCCTGCTCTAGTCAATCTCTTTGTTCAACTTTAAAAGTGTTTTCCCTTGAAGATATTTCCTCCACATCCTGATAATGATATGAAGCATAAACTTTCTCCTTCCTGTTGTGAAAAACTCCTGAACAAAGTACAGTGTTAGTTATCCTACGAGCGCGAGTGGAACAAATAATTATGAAGTGTGTCTGTGTCAAATATGCCACGAGGTCAAAGATGGGACATAGTATAAGATAAGGTCATACGCTGTGATCACATTTAAGCTGCTAACTGATTAGGTGTGCGTGCATCAGAAAAATGTGCTCGTCTTAAGATTGTATACGATAAGCACCTTGCAGTATAAACCAGTATGAACCAGTATGAACCAGTATGAACCAGTATGAACCAGTATGAACCAGTATGAACCAGTATGAACCAGTATGAACCAGTATGAACCAGTATGAACCATGCAATACAGGATAATACAACACCGTCGTTTCTATGGATCGACCAATCAGGATCAAGTTCAAGTTTGCTTGAAAATAAAACTATTCGCCTTCTCTATGATTTTCTAAGTTTTGTATTTTGTAAGTTGTACATAATTTTCTTGTCTGTTTAAATTTTAACAGCCAACCTGCCAAAGTTGTACAAAAGACGTCCTCTCCCATCCTGTGCATTCAAGCTCACAAGAACGGCTTCATAGCAGGGACAGGTAAGTCAGTCTATACAATTTTTGGATGTTGCTGTGCCGTACTATTGGTGTGTTCAAATAGCTGTTCGGGTAAAGGCAGCCACGACAGCCAGGCTAATCGAACGCTCAGCCATGAACCATCACAATCCCTGTGTGATGTCTCAAGTCGTGGCCGTAGCCACTGACAACACCCGTTTCTGGGTCTTAGTTTGAGATTAACTGCTTTTCAGTCAATTTTACAAAGCCTAAAAATAGTTGGGCTGGAATTATAGCCTTTAAAATCGCAATGAACTTCTTTAGACTTCAAATAAAGTTGATTTGGGGGTCCACTTGAGATTTCCGCTGCCCGGCCGCCATGTTTAGCCAATTCTTGGAATGAACAACGCATGCCTGTGACGTATTTCCACCATCGACTCTGTTCCACGAGCAAGATCTGCGGTGGCTGACTCAGGTGAGCCCTGAGAATGACTCGGAGCTAAAGGAACGGCACGGGGCTCACCCGAGTCGATCAAAACGAACGCACCCTACATAAAGTACTACGGAGTACGGAGCAAAATTCAGGCAGTGGCCACATCTCACACATTTCTGTGTGGCTGTGGCTACTGTCACTGATACATTGGTCAAGTTCGCGCAAGGACATAGTTGACCAATGGTTAACTAATGTTTGCCCGAACTCTGTCTAGTCGACGGTGGTTGACTACGCTAGTCGACTATTTGGAACCAGCCTACTGGGGTTGGTTGCTTTGCTGGTAACCAATAGCCGCGCGCATTCATAATGCTAGCAGAGAGCCAGGATCCAGAAGTTTTGCGATGACATTTTGACCAGCATTTGACTAGAGACGTTCGCATGTTGCTATTAGTGCGCAGGCGTAAGATACGTCACAAATCAACCACTAGTCGACTAATGGTCCTTGCCCGAACTTGGCCATTATTGTCACTCATCATAACCGTAGACCGAAATGTCTGATTCTGACGAGGCCATATCCCTCATCTGTGTAATTTGTTGATATTTATTCTTGTATAGGTTTTGCAAATAAATAGTTGTTTTCAACAGCATTTTAGACGCTATTACATTTTGACATTTTTTATAATAACTGTATAATAACTGTGTAATTTGTTTTCCCCAACAAATTACAAGTTCCATTCATAAAACATACCAGCAGATTGAAACAGCGCCCTCAATAAACTTTTTTGATATCTTATGTACAGGATTGGTTGGTTTACATGGAAATAATTGAAAAGTTGAACATGGAGATATTGACCATAGATAAACAGTAAACCGCTCATCAGTTAACTCCCCATAACTTTACAGTGATTCCTTGTGTCCAATCCATCAATATTTATTTCTTTATCTTATTATTGACACGTTTTCTTCCTGACGTAGATAATTTCCTTTATTTCAATAACAGTGTCCATAAAATACGCAACCTCAATCCCTGAGCCTTTGTAATGTTCATCCCCTCCAGATTTTTTATTCTGGAGAGCCCCTGTATTCATGAAATTGAACACACACAACTCCTATAACCGACAGTATTATCAACCAGAATATCATTTTTGACAGTAACAAAACAATTTCTAGATATTGTTTTCCTGCCATTTGCCCAATATTATCCGTGGCTCCGTCAGACTTGTCATTTTTCATTCTACGGACTCTCCCTTCCATCCCAGCAAATTTGTGTTTTGACAGTTTACCTTTCCCTCCCCCAAATATCCAATTCTTTCTGTTCAATCAAAACCAATTTATACAGTTTTGTTCCCTTTTCCCTTTGTCCATGTATCCCTCCTTCCCAGTCATTCGACCTTGAAACTGTCATTTTTTGATAAAGCACCGGCGCATTCCTAGTCATGTTTCATTATTGAGTCTGATTCCCCCTGGCATATTTTCTTTCTCATTTTACAAAAGGAGAAGAAAGAAAAAACGGGGGAATGAACAAAATTGATCGTTGGCCTTCACAGCCGTCAATCGCTAGTATGATTTCATTCCCCCCCCCCCAAATGCATGTAGCTTTCATGTCTCCTATTAGAGTGAAACATGTAGTTCAATGCTGCGGTCTGTGAAATTCAGGCTATGAAATTCACCAATCTTGGTGGTTATTTGAATGCCATGGCAACAGTAATGATTACAAAATTTGCAATTTTGTTTTTCCCGTCGTAGACTTCTTTTGTCATACATATACTTGACTGCCAATGGTGGAGCGAAATGATTCGTGTATAATTGGAATATGACATTCGGTTCATGCATGTAGTGTGTTTAGATACACATCAGGGCCCAATTTTATGATGCTGCTTGAATGGCCATGTAATGAATTTTTTGTTTTTTTAATGCAATATTTGAAATGTACCTTTTTGTTCCATTAAACGCTACTTTTTTATCCTCATATTGCCACTTTAAGGTCGTTTTGGTGCCCTTGTGGTTCGTGTGCTTATGCAAATTTCCGTATTCGTGAACAAAACTGTGATGCCATTCAAGGCAGAAACTTTAGTTTCACAACTGCTTCGGCATAAAATGTATCAATTTCCAACGATGGTCAGCCGACCATCGTTGGAAAAAAATATACTGTTTTCAAATACTGCCCCCAATTTACCACATTGAATTAGTCCACGTTTTGTTCGTAATCGGTTACACATCCATGAACGGATGCAAGCCATCTAGTCTGGTTCCCTGACCTGACAATTCCCATAAATTGCTCCGTTTCGTCTGAAGTAGGGTCAGGGAACCAGATTTTTTTCCAGCATCCGTGAACACAAAGACTTTAAACAGGGCAATGTAACAACAGTTACTATAAAATCCATCAAACTCTCAAATCTAACCCCTAAATCAAGCAAACGTTGTACAATATTCCCCTTAAGAGACTCACAGATTTGGACCAGCAAAGTTTTACAATGACTTGACTTTCCCCAAGAATGACTTCGAACCAAAACAAGAAGAAGAAAAGATCTCCAAATTAATACAGAATTGCTCTTCTGTTTAATAAAAGGTTGTAATTTTCACCGGTTTTGTGGAACACTGTGTTCGCATGGCCTTTTCTACAATAGTGATTTCCTTGAGGAAATTGTAGAACTATCACCGTGATTGCTCTATTCTTGTCGCTGTATTTGAGACTGTCCATGGTCCCTTGTTCCCGCTAACCTTGGACGAAAACATCCAATAAATTGAGCCGTTTTAAGAAAAAATAAAATCATCAAGGTTCCTTTGAGAAAAAGAAAGAAAGGAAAAAGCCCTTTTGAAAATCCGACTGAATTAAATTTCTCATTGTTATCCTCCGTAGGGACAGTTTGTGATCTTTTTCACCAAAAAAAATCAAAATAAATCAAATATTTCTGGACTGAAAGAAATGAAGAAAAAAAAATAGAAAGGAAGAAACAATGAAGATATAATCAAGAAGGCAAAGAAGAAAGTTCAAACTTCTTACAAACAGGGCAACGAGATTGAATTATTGAGCTCTTTTCAGAATTCTTCCACTTAAGGTTAACGGAAACGAGCCTATGTCTGAACATTTTTACAAATTCCATACTCGTTTAAATCTTGCTTCACCTTGAATTTGTCTGTTCTTGTTCTCTGATCAAAATGCATATTGATTTCCATATATTTATTCAGTTATCTTTAAAAAAAAATTATATAAGGCCAAAAAAAAAGTCTCCGTTCTCTGGTATGCGCGCACGTCGCGGTAACCATGCGCGTCGGCAAAATTAAAAAGTTTTTTTTCACTGAAAGATGTGTCTCAGAACCGCCAAACTCACTGGTTTGACTGGAATACTGCTGCTGCACAATTTTAACGTGTTTTTAGATGGGGTTACGATCGAGAGTAAGCTTTATGTGGCCTCTCTGGACTCCCATATATTTGCACTTAGTTTAGTCGGGCACCATTTGCAGTCATCAGCCGACATTTGAAGAAAAAAAAAAACCGTAAAAAAAAAAAAATCTGTGTCGCCGCACCACTTTTTGGGCAAGCAACATGCCAGAAACAAGAGACTTTTTTTATTTTGCCTAAAAGAAATTTTACAAAGAGATGCGAGTTTGTAAAAAGTCAAGGATGCATCAAAAGCCTTTTAATAATTTATAGCTCTACAGTTCTATTTCAAGGCCAAAGACATATTTTTTTGTGGAAAAACCAAATTGGTTTGTCATAATTATAGTTGGAAATTATCTCCTTGTAATGCCCCGAAACATCTGGCTGCGCATATCATTTACACAATTTACCCGTCCTAGCTATAATCCTGTCGGATTTAGGTTTCGTACAGACGGGGAAACAGAATCCCGGCTTAGTAATGTTCCAAGGTTTTAAGTGATTCGTTTTTCTGATGCGCATAATTCGTGTAAACAATACTTGTAACATGTGTGCTGTGCATACAACATTTGCATACACGATGTGTCTGGCGAGTTCATTGAAGCATAACTTGTTCTTTTTTATTTGCTGGTCTACGGTCCTTTTTGAACCTCACTGAATGACTTACTGACTGATTGACTGATTGTTACTTGTTCCTTAGACTTGCTTAACCCTAAACTCCCTAGACATTTTGCTAGGATGCAACCTCAATGCTGCAAACTCCTCCAACTGCCTCCATGTAAAAATGGCATACAGCCGCAAACCTCCAAAATCGGCTGTTATTTCTTGAATGTAGTCCTTGGAGGGGTGACCACTGCCTCAATCCTGCAAAATCCTCCAGCAATCACTGTCAGAGCCAGTGACATCCTGGAGCAGCGCGGAGGATTTCGAGTATTATCCAAAGTATTTTTTTTTAAAAGTAACTTTAGTATTTAGTTATTCTGGGTGCATCGCGGCACGGGAAAGGGATATTATTAGAGAAATATAAGTGTAATCTTAAGGCCTAAATTTATGCACGGCTAAGTATAAACAACACAAGGTCTGGCCTAAGACCTCAAAACAGTGCATCCTCCAAAATCAGCCGCACAATTTTGCCATACAGCCTCAATCCTGCAAAATCCTCCTTATTGCAAATTATTTTGGGGGTTAAAGGTAATATGCAATATTTGCGAAACATCAGAAAACAAAACTACCAAATTATGATGAAATACCTTACTGGACTGTAAGTGAATAACAGTCTCAACTCAAGCATCCTGTGAAATCATGGCACCTGGTGTACTGTCGTTTTCAAGAACATAAAGACACCAACAGGTCCTTAAAATATTAAATTGTTTGCGGACTTAAGGCCGGGTAAAAAAATAATGTAGTTTCTCGTCCTAGCTTTTTTAATAAACGAAAGAGGCCGGCACTTTTTTTTCCCCCCAAATTGGCGGATTTTCCTAGATGGCAGATTGATTCTTCCATTTTCTTGACTCTTTTGCTGATACAAAATTGCGTCCAAGGCCAAAAAAAAAAGTCTCGCGCGCGTCGCCGTAGCCATGCGCGTCGGCAAAATGAAAAAGGTTTTTTTTCAATGAAAGATGATGTCTCAAACCGCCAAACTCACTGGTTTGACTGGAATCCTGCTGCTGCACAATTTTAAAGTGTTTTTAGATGGGGTTATGATCGAGAATAAGCTTTATGTGGCCTCTCTGGACTCCCATATATTTGCACTTAGTTTAGTCGGGCACCATTTGCAGTCATCAGCCGACATTTGAAGAAGAAAAAAACTGTAAAAAAAAAAAAGCCGCGTCGCCGCACCACTTTTTGGGCAAGCTCCATACCAGAAACTGGAGACTTATTTTTTTGGGCCCAAAGCAGCCTTGCCCTTTTGTTCAATTTTGTTAGAAACAAATAAAATGACAATATACTGACCATATATTTACAAAATATATCAAATTTATGAATTTAAATTATTTTTTTGTACTTGGCCTAATCAATCATGCGTGTATTTTCCAATTTCTAAGTTCCAAAAGCAATTACTGACAAACTGGTAGTTTGAGAAAACCTGGTGTACATAAAGTGCCCCAAGGTTGATGAATAAAAAAAAAAAAAAAAAGAATCCCCCAAATTGCACAATTCTGTAAAAATGCCAGTTGTAAATTTTTACAACATAATGGAAAATATTTTCAGCCCCTACTCACCCACTCGATGTAAATATAGGCTGGAACCACGCCCAGCAGCATTGACTCTGCCAAACCAGGATCTGAAGAGAGTCTGGAGTGTGCCAGCAGAAAAAAAAAATATCAATAATTTTTTTTATTTATTCATTTCATCCCGGATGTGACAAAAAAGATGAGTAATTAGCCTATAAGTGGGGAGATTATTTTTTTTCTGTTTTTCCCCACATTGGTGCACTGAGGCGAAAATATAAGCCATGATATGACTGAATGCGTTGGGCATCCCCTTGGGATCAAACATTGGATCTTTGTCATTGTAATCAGTTCAGACAATTATATAAAGTGCATTAGTTTTATCCGACATTCTCGTGTTTCATGTGACAAGGATGTTTACAGCGTTGGGATAACACTGACATTGTTCAGACATTGTAACATCTGTTGCTTTACTCAATCTTTTGTCTGTTACTGTTCTTGAAATTGGATTCATTGTACAGGGCGAGTCAAAGAAAATGAAACCCAAATATTGGGACCATTGTTTAAGTGAAGTTCTGCATGTGTAGCACTTTCAAAATGTAGGATATGAAAGCCCAATCCATAAGCTTTCTTTTAGTACAAGAATCATTCAAATCACTCATGTACTTTTCAAGTTACGGAATTTTAAACACAACCGCCGCTTTAAGGTTCTGTCCACGGATCACAAAAAAGTTCAGGGTTCTTTCAGCAAAACGAAAACAAATCACAGGATGTGTGTGAATTGTTTTCGTTTTGCTGAAAGAACGCACACCTTTTTGGTGGTCCTTGGACAGAACTTTAAAACGGTGGTTGTGTTTAAAACTCTGTAACTTGAAAAGTACTATAAATGATTTGAATGATTCTTGTACAAAAAGAAAGTTTATGAATTGGGCTTTCATATCCTAGACTTTGAAAGTGTTACATGCAGATCTTCACTAAAACAATGGTCCCGACATTTGGGTTTCGTTTTTTTTTACTCGCCCTGTACAATGAATCCAATTTCATGAACTGTAACAGAAAAATGATTGAGTAAAGCAACAGATGTTACAATGTACTTTTTTTACTCACCCTGTACTATTTTTGAAAAGAAAAGGACTCCAATGTGAATGTTGTATTGGATGGCGTTTTCACACTTTATGTAACTAAACTCAATGTTGTACCCATGTGAATCTCTTGAGATTTTGACTGTTCACACTTCTAAAACTTGCCCATTCACAAACTCTATCTGTGGCACAGCTCACAGGCCCATTTTTCCCCCGAATCGCTTTCGTACAGTCATTTAGTGAGTGGAAAGATCAGGGGCTGTGCATCGGAACCGGGTACCCGAATACGAGACTGTTGATGTCTGTAACTGGTTCTAGATTATGGGATCGGGTACCCGTAACCAATGTACAAATTACTTAGTTACTTCTTGGACAATGAAAGAGTAAGGTTTTGAAGTCGACTGCGGGGAATTTCCAAAATGAAAACCAGACCACATGGTAAAACCAAACATATTTTGCATTACATGTATAAGGCTTGCAAAAGATGTAGTTTACATAGTTAAGCTATAAAGCTCACTGTTCACACTTGTATCTTGCTGTATTGGTGCCCCGACGCAGAAGTATCATCGTCCGGACCTTTGTAAACAATATCAACAAAAACTTCCGAGATTTGAATTTGGCATGTTTGGCTTTGGGTTTCTTTAACGGGGACCCATATTTTATTTTTTTTTCAATTGGGTACCCGTTCCTTTACTACCCGTAAATGCACACCTCTAGAAAGATCACACTGTGGTGAACTCAAGGTCATAAAAGATCTTGATTTCTAAGCACCAAAGAAAATGAAGGCTTAATTACTTCCCAGAAATTGTCCAATTTGACTGGCCATCGCAGCTGCAGCTCTTTCCTATCTGAACCCATTGTGACCCGTGAATCACAATAACAGCTGGACCTAGTAATATTTGTTAGTTTAGTCGAGCTTCAAAGATGCAGCTTGGAAACCATCAAATCTAAAGGTTCTAAACCTAGCTCACCGCCAACCCCAGTGGCAGTTCTAAAAAAGGGGGGGGGGTGTTAGGGGGACCACCCCCCCCCCCTTGTGCCACAAATAGGAAAATCATGAAGAAAAAAGTAGCACATGCCTGCTAGCCCGCTAACCCCCTCCCCCTCGACGGCCAAGTGCCCCCCCCCCCCATTGACGGTTATGTGTCCAACCCCCTCCAGCCAAAGTTAACGGTATATAGATGCACCCCTGAACCCATTCCCTTAAAGATGTACTGTCATCCAGATGTCACCAAAATTGAGTGTTTGTGTTTGTTAACTGTACGTGTATGGGTTGAGTCCAAAAAAACAAACACACAAACAAAACAAATGGCAGGACCAATTATGTTATGAAGTTCTGCATGTAGTACTTTCAAAATCTAGGATATGAAAGCCCAATTAATAAGCATTCTTTTAGTACAAGAATCATTCAAATCACTAATGTACTTTTCAAGTAACGAAATTTTGAAAACAAACACCATTTTAAAGTTGTGTCCACGGATCACAAAAAAGATAAGCGTTCTTTCAGCAAAGCGAAAACAATCAGGGATGTATGTGAATTGTTTAACTTTAAGAACACAGACCTTTTTTGTGATCCGTGGACAGAAGTTGCCTAACTTGAGAAGTACATGAGTGATTTGAATGATTCTTGTACTTAAAGAAAGCTTATTAATTGGGCTTTCATATATTAGATTTTAAAAGTGCTACATTGCAGAACTTCAATGAAAATAATGGTCCTGACGTTTGGGTTTCCTTTTTTTGACTCACCCTGTATGTATTTCGAAGAGCTACATGTAGGTCGCAGAAAATCCACACATTGAGTGTCCTACATATTCAGAGAAAATATTGAATAACCCATAGATGTGTAATGTTCATATCTGATGTGGCAGGGATTTTATTGCTATACCTTTGCATATTCCCAGCAGTGAATAAAACCATCAAATTTTAAGCTTAACTGTCAACATAAAACTTGGCGCCGCATAAAATCCATATTCAATTCACTATGTGATATGATGTCCCGCACTAGTTTCGGACTTAAAGGCACAACTGAGTTTCTAGAGCACGTGTGCTTTGAAAAGAGCCGTGTGTGGCAGGAATGCCAACTGTAGCTCCATCAGCTCGATTTTTGCCACCATGAATGCCTTTGACCCCCCTTTCCTTCGTCAATTTTAATTCGAGGTTTTCCCTTTTCTGTCCCCACAATTGAACCCCCACCTCCCCTCCTTCAAGTTTTCTGCTAAGATCACGGCCCTATTAGTCTGTCAAGTTGAATATCTCATCCGCAGCCCAGCTCGGGATGTATTGACCCCTATTTCGCTGACCCTGTTTTGGAGAGACCCTTTGTGACCTGTATTTCAACTCCAGTCTTGTTTCAGGCCCTGTTTGTTGGGCATTAATATTTTCCAGGTTTTTTTTTTTAAGAGAGGTACACGTAGTTATACATCCAACTTGTCAGGGTCGTTCAGACCATAGAGCTATCTTTGAAGATAGCTCTGGAGCTAGCTAGCTCCACGCAAAATGGTTGTTGTTTGGACGTAACATATCTCCTGAGCTAGCCAGGGCCAATTCTAGCCCCGAAAATTTGTGGGGCTAGGTTCAGTTTCAGGTCAGCGGGGCTTCATTTTACGACCTAGCTCCACCGTAATTTGCTGTTTGGACGCAACTGACCTAGGTCCACACCAAGGGCGTCAAACGCTTCTCAAAAGTGAGGGGGGGGGGCATACCTTCATCAAAACTAATGTGAGGGTGAAGTGCAAAGCCCTAATGGCTGATGATAGAGACATTCGAACACATCACCAACGACACATGGTGCTCATGCGAAGACGCCATTGCTCAGCTTTGTGCACATAAGTCGTGCATACCTCACGAGCAAACCAGTACGCACACGCAGTGTGCTCCGTCCTTGGGGCTCTCAAAAGTGGTTAAAAAAGTGCCCTCTCCTGTTGGCACACGGAGCCCATATGCGTACGAACCATGTACTACATAACCTTCAAGGACCGACACACAAAGGGAGAGCAACAGATCCTTTCAGTCCTCGGGAGTTGGGTCTTTTGTTGGAAACGGTCCTCTGTAGTAAGTTTGTGTGCTTAGTCTATGGTAGAGTGTTATATTACAGGTGTGACAGCTCATTTACATATTTCTCCTGCACAGCGCCCTCGCTTGACCCTTAAGGTAAAGCTCTCACTTAGCCAATTGTCTTGAGTGAGTCATTCCACCACTAGCTCTGTCACTGTTAACACCACACAGCTAGTGTCCTGCTTCCTTCTACACATGTTCTTAGTTAATGCCTCAAGATTTTGTGGATGACTCGACTGGGGTAAGAATTCATTTATATTGTTTTAATAGTTGTTCTTATTGCTGAAGTTCCTAAGTTTCTTTTTATTGAGACTTTGTGAACACTTTTTGATTAATTCTGAAGTTAGCTGGAGTATTCTTAAACTTTACTCTGATTACTGAATTTAAAGTGGATTCATTCATTGATGGTCTTTAGGAAGCCCAGATGCACTGTGTTGTTGTATTTATTATTGCATATTTAGGAAAGATCATCCTTTTGATGACTTTCTGTGTTTAGAGATATAATCTATTTCCATGGATTTGAAGGATTTAGATTTCCCTAACTTTGATTACATGTACATGTATATCCACCTTATTTCTTGTTCACATTTAGTTAACTTCTTGAGTACACAAAGTTCAAGAATAGATTTCCTTATTTTACTATATATTCCTCATCATCTATTTTCCACTTTTTTATGAACATATTCTTAGATTTATACTTAAGTGTATAAATTCATAGTTCCTTTGTCCTGTGTAGATGCCCATAGTGCAGTGTAGTATAGCCACTGTTTAGACCCTTAATCCCCTAAGTTGCTGCATATATAATGAGGTGCACACAGTTTCTTGGAAGACACCATACCTTAGTACAGGGAGGCAGGAAGTCTGCCAAGTATGTTTATTACCCTGCAGAGATTTCTTTTGTCCAGTGTTTATTGGAGCGTGTGACCTAAGATACCAGTAGTGTCTTATTAGACTGGCACACTAGTCCTTACGTTTATGTGATGCAGCATATATTACTCATATTTCTCTTTTTGTACTTAATTAAGCATGCCATCTGCATATTTGTTTAGCATTTATTTAGTTATGTTATTTCTCCATAGTCCTTTTTTTATGATATTAATTCATTTTTCCTAAGTTAGTTTCTTTATGGATCCTTAGGTTATAATGATGAGTGGACTGATTTAAGTCTATGGTTTGCTGAGTCCATAGTCATATATATTTAGAGGTCATTGCACATTTGCTTTAGTTATTTCCTATTTTGTCTTTGCAAGTTAAAGCATTCACATGCCTTGTATTAATTCATTTTGGAATTTAACTTGACTTTACGGTTAGAAGCAAATTGTGTTATCGAGTTCGATTTATCTCTTTTGATTGCATTAGATTCTCTGAGGATTATTATTGTTCTTTTTATAATTTACTTTGCTGGATTGGTATTTCCTAAAGCATTGTATTTATATGGAATTTCTATTTTGTATCTTTTCAGGGTTTGTTTTGTTTGTGTAAGATGCAGTTCACCATTAAATGAACCAGTCACAGTAAATGTACACCATCCTTGTCGTGTCACATTTTCCAGTGTCACATTTGGCGTCGTAGACAGGATGGTGTACTAATACTGCATCTACCCCCAGTCGAGGATGAGGCGAAACTAACGGCAGACAACTGACCCCGAGACGAGCTGCTACATTTATCAAGAATGGAGGGAATGGAGCAACTGCGGGCCGAGCTTGAGGCGATGAAGGTAGCTCTTCAGGCGGAGAAGGAGCAGAGAGTGCACCTGCTGCTTTTCACAAAGCGGGGGAGCACCAGCCCGAGGACCAAGCCCCTCAATCTTCAGATGTGCAAGATCCGGAGAGAGCACCCGCTGCTTTACACAAAACAGGGGAGCACCACCCTGACAATGTAGCCCCGCAACCCCCATCAGAAGTGGAAGATTCTTCACCGGAACCCACTACAGAGGAGGAGGTCCCACTTGCCAAAGCGGAGCAGTTGCGCCACACCAGCCGTGCTGGAGCGGGACAGCACTCCAATCCCCATCACCTCCCGAAGTCTGTCATCCAGTCGGAGACTCCAGCAATGCCTGTCCCTGCACCTGCGATAGACCCACGTGTACTAGCAGACATCAGCCGAACGCAGCTGCTGTTGGCACAGATGTTGGCCGGAGTCCAGCCAAGATGATTTTTTTTTTGTAAATAGTTAATTGTACTTTCTTTTTTTGTATTAATCTTTTATCTGTTTAGGTTGTCGGGACGCCAACCTTAGAGCAGGGGAGTATGTGACAGCTCATTTACATATTTCTCCTGCACAGCGCCCTCGCTTGACCCTTAAGGTAAAGCTCTCACTTAGCCAATTGTCTTGAGTGAGTCATTCCACCACTAGCTCTGTCACTGTTAACACCACACAGCTAGTGTCCTGCTTCCTTCTACACATGTTCTTAGTTAATGCCTCAAGATTTTGTGGATGACTCGACTGGGGTAAGAATTCATTTATATTGTTTTAATAGTTGTTCTTATTGCTGAAGTTCCTAAGTTTCTTTTTATTGAGACTTTGTGAACACTTTTTGATTAATTCTGAAGTTAGCTGGAGTATTCTTAAACTTTACTCTGATTACTGAATTTAAAGTGGATTCATTCATTGATGGTCTTTAGGAAGCCCAGATGCACTGTGTTGTTGTATTTATTATTGCATATTTAGGAAAGATCATCCTTTTGATGACTTTCTGTGTTTAGAGATATAATCTATTTCCATGGATTTGAAGGATTTAGATTTCCCTAACTTTGATTACATGTACATGTATATCCACCTTATTTCTTGTTCACATTTAGTTAACTTCTTGAGTACACAAAGTTCAAGAATAGATTTCCTTATTTTACTATATATTCCTCATCATCTATTTTCCACTTTTTTATGAACATATTCTTAGATTTATACTTAAGTGTATAAATTCATAGTTCCTTTGTCCTGTGTAGATGCCCATAGTGCAGTGTAGTATAGCCACTGTTTAGACCCTTAATCCCCTAAGTTGCTGCATATATAATGAGGTGCACACAGTTTCTTGGAAGACACCATACCTTAGTACAGGGAGGCAGGAAGTCTGCCAAGTATGTTTATTACCCTGCAGAGATTTCTTTTGTCCAGTGTTTATTGGAGCGTGTGACCTAAGATACCAGTAGTGTCTTATTAGACTGGCACACTAGTCCTTACGTTTATGTGATGCAGCATATATTACTCATATTTCTCTTTTTGTACTTAATTAAGCATGCCATCTGCATATTTGTTTAGCATTTATTTAGTTATGTTATTTCTCCATAGTCCTTTTTTTATGATATTAATTCATTTTTCCTAAGTTAGTTTCTTTATGGATCCTTAGGTTATAATGATGAGTGGACTGATTTAAGTCTATGGTTTGCTGAGTCCATAGTCATATATATTTAGAGGTCATTGCACATTTGCTTTAGTTATTTCCTATTTTGTCTTTGCAAGTTAAAGCATTCACATGCCTTGTATTAATTCATTTTGGAATTTAACTTGACTTTACGGTTAGAAGCAAATTGTGTTATCGAGTTCGATTTATCTCTTTTGATTGCATTAGATTCTCTGAGGATTATTATTGTTCTTTTTATAATTTACTTTGCTGGATTGGTATTTCCTAAAGCATTGTATTTATATGGAATTTCTATTTTGTATCTTTTCAGGGTTTGTTTTGTTTGTGTAAGATGCAGTTCACCATTAAATGAACCAGTCACAGTAAATGTACACCATCCTTGTCGTGTCACATTTTCCAGTGTCACACAGGGACTAAGGGAAACACAAAGCATTGTCCTCGAGAGTATAGTAAAACAAGAGTTGGTGCGCACACAGTGTGTTATCCTTCTTCGGCTCTCAAAAGTACTATCTACGGTTTGTGCGGGGAGTTCATTATCAAGCCTTACAAGTACATGAGATACCGGTGCACTGAAAGCTTTGGTAGCGCATGTACATGTAATTGATAATGACTGATTTCCCCTTGACCACACCCAGATTGCCTAACACTGATCTGTTTGTTCCGATCTGGTTGTGGTTTGCAATGTGGTTTCCATTGCCCCCTCCCACTCCTGCCTTAACCTTGTACCCTACAAACCCGCGTTCTTCCCCCATTATTCTCAGTTAAACTGTCTTCCTTCCTCCTTCATCTCCTTTCCAAGATCCTTGAAGTGATCCCCTCCCCTGCCATTTTTTTCAAGCCAAGTCTACAACTTTTTTTGGTGATTTTTATAAATAAAAAAATCACTGATACACAATAAATAGATTTGTCTAAACCAGAAAAATCGTTCTAAGCTCAGGATTTGGCACCCGATTAAAGTACAAACCCAATTGTCACCAAAACTCAGCTTTACATTCCTACATGGGACACCAGACTCAGTTGGGCACAGAATCTGAGGCCAAACATAGTGTGTTTATAAAGTGCCCATCGGCAGTCTTGCCCAATAACAGGCATGCAACTTTTCCTCGGATCAGCTTATTTCCTCTTTTTTTTTACTTCCCATGTGTGCCATTGAAAATAGAAAAACACTGTACAAAGTCTGGGAAAAATTTGAATTTCCTCTTTTTTGGGGATTTCCCAGTTGCATGCCTGCAATAAGCATTTGCAACATTCTGTACCCTTAACACTATGGTATCTAACTTCTTAGCCCATAAAGCATCTGAATTCTAGACTTGATGTCTCCTCTCGCCTTCTCTGTATATCAGTACAAACCAAAATTCCGCCAAAACTCAGCTTTACATTCCTACATGGGACACCAGACTCAGTTGGGCACAGAATCTGAGGCCAAACATAGTGTGTTTATAAAATTCCATCGGCAGTCATGCCCAGTAACCATTTGCAACATTCCGTTCCCTCAACACTATCTAACTTACCAACCCACAAAGCATCTGAAATCTGGACTTCATGTCTCCTCTTGCCTTTCTCTGGATTTGCATCTCCAAGAATCTTCTTGACTTGAACCCGAGCCTCAAATTCTGGTTCAAGGACCCCCTAACCCTGTCTTCAACTCTCACCCTTGGTCCCAGCCAGCCAGTCAGTCACTCCCACCCGGATTCCAAGAACTGCCCTCTATCCCTTAAACCAGTTTCAAGACACAAAAGCTAATGGTTATATCAGGTGAATCATCGATTTTGCCTCCAACCACAGCAGGAAAGTGTTTGCCTGTGGTATAAGTTGTTCCAGACAGGCGTTACTTCAGTGGAAGAATGTTAACGTTAATGTCATTCATAGATCACAGTCTGTCCCTAGTACTGTTTTTTTTTTAACCCTAACGTACCTGAATCCATCAAAATCCAAACTGTTTTGGAGTATTTCAGCAGATTCAGGATACCTCCATAATTGAAATAGTTGGGAGATTTTTATGGATTCGGGACAGCAAGCTTAGTGGTGCTGCAGAATTTTGATGGATTCAGGGTACTTTCATATTGAGCAGTTTGGGGACATTGATGGATTCAGGATCTCAACAGTTTAACTCCTTGGCAATATGTTTGGTGTGTATAAGGTATATGTACTGCAATTGGCGGATTCTGATGGACTCAGGACACCAACATTTTCTTTGCATGACAAAATTGATGGATTTGAGCAGATTCAGGATACTTTCTGGTAAAAGTGCTCAAGGGGTTAGGGTTAATTCATGATATATATCTCCTCTCTTCTTCTAAAAAAAATATCAGATCAACGGACAAGATCTCACTTTAATCGAACCAAACCAGACCTAACTAATTGATGGGTGGCAAACTCTGCCAGACTTTCGGAGTTCGTAACCCAAGGTGAAAGTTCTCCCCAAAATTGAACTTCCCCTGTCTGCAACCGCACATTACCCCCTAGTACTTCTTTGACCCTCCCCCTGCGCTTCCATATCCTTCCCTTTACTTCTTGAAGGATTTTGTCACTGCAAAAAGCCAGCAGTGGGCTTGGTGATAATTATATGGTCTCACAATCAGGTTTATGAAAATCCTGCCTTGCTGTATTTGTGGGTGTTTTCGAAACCTGGGCTTCATGCTGACTTTGTCTCTTGATTCACAATAGAAAAGAAGTACACCAAAATACGGTATACTCCACATCATTTTGGCCAGATATATGTACATGTACATGAACATTGTCAGTAAGGAACCTATACATGTATGTGTGTAAATTCATCTAAAGCTGAAGCCTGAGATGAGGCCAAGGTTTCAAAATCACCATGTCCCCGATTTTAATGTGGTCAGTGCTGAGGTTGTATGCTGCCCTCTGTTGATCTTTCTCCAACCAGATCTCAAAAATGAAGTTATCCTTGCTTGTAGAAAATGCATTATCCTTGTATGTGTACATGAATTTGAAAAGCTTTTTCCCTTGCTCAACCTTTGAACGTACAATGTACTTGTACATGTTCAATACATGTACAGTGTATGTTGGTTTATTGCAATAAAAGTGTACAATTTAGATGTGGAACAGGGTTGCCAACTTTGAGTAAGAGCTGAGAGTGAGAATTTGGCGATGGAGCTTGATCAGAACTAATGCAAGCGCGAAGCCTTATCGGCGTGGGGTTCGGGGCCCGCTTAAGGGTTCCGAAAAAAAATGGGTTCCAGACGCTCTTTTGTGCGATCTGAGGCAATTCTTACCTTTTTAACCGAGTTTTTGAGAAAAAGATCATCATTTAAACATATTAGAGTTTGGAGTCAATTATTATTTATTTTTTTTAGCATGAGAAATCGTGGGTGTTGGCGTGAGAGCATGAGAATAACCTGAAATGTGTGAGTTTTCAAGCTTATTGCGTTGGAGTTGGCAGGCCTGCTCAATGCGAGAATGATAAAGTTAGGACCCCAAAAAAATACTTCTGCTTCCGGTTACCCTACCTACCCTATTTGGACAGCCCCTACCCTAATTGTTATTTAGGAAAAACTGAGAGAAAACCCCCGAAACCATCAATTACTACCCTTTACCCTTGACTACACGCAGACACCTTCATATGATCGTACACAAAAAAAATTTCCCCCCCCAAAAAAAAATTCCCTACCTACCCACCTTATTTTCAAATGCCATGTAATCAGAAGCAGAACTATTTTTTTTTTGCCTTATCGAAATTGCTTTGTTGTAGATTTCAACATGCATGCACAGTAGCATGCTTACATAGTATGCCAATTCCAAAATAGGCCGTATATCCCCTTCAGTTCATATTCAGTTTTTATTTTAAACAAAACAAAACAAAAAAAATTTAAATTGTTTAAAAAAAATTCTAGTCCTTGAACATTCCCATGATGTGTAATTTTGACAACGCTCTCACATGTTTGAAAATGAAGTCTTAATTTCAAAATCAAATTTCGTAAAACTGCGTTTACAGTAAGGACTAAAGATTGATTTCCCAAAATTTAGGATTCGTTCCTGATTTTTTTCTCTTTCTTTTCCCCCCTTTTTCACTGAGTTCAAAACAGGATTAGTGCAGGCCTGTATAAATCAGCTGCCACAACTTGTACCAAGTTTTGTCAGATTTGGTCGTTTTTTTATTAGGGGAGGGGAGGGATTTGCAGGGCTTTTGCTAGTCCATGGGTGTTGCGCTTGGCTGTAGAGAGCTATTAATACCTGCCAAAAGTAGGCCACGAGAGATTTCTATAAATAGACCTCGTTCGCTGGATTTCCTCGGTACCGTTAGCGCTCCAACCGCATGTTTTTTAGAATTTGGAATTTGAGAATGATACATCTGTTTCGATAACCTAATTATTGTGTGACGTCCTGTTCAAACATATGTGACCTTTGCCCTAAATCTCTGATTTTCCTCGAATATAAAAGATATAAAAAAAGTTTGCCAACTTAATGCTGAATTTGTTGACTTGGGTCATATTTCATTGTCACTTAAGTTTAAGGGAATTTACATTTGCTTTTCTGTGATTTTCAGAAATGGATGGATTTGGGCGGTTGGTATTTTATAGCAAATATTGTTACACTGACGTTTTTAAAGTTTTTTGTTCGTAGATGCTGGGCAAAAAACCAAGAAAAAACAATCATGTTCCTGTAGTCTGGTTCCCTGACCCCACTTAAGATAGAACAGAGCAATTTATAGACGTCGGGGAATTGTAAGGTCAGGGAACCAGTCTAGCTGGTTTGTACCCGTTCAAAGGTGTGTAATGGATTGCAGACAAAATGCGGACTAACACAATATGGTAAATTGGGGCAGTATTTGAAGAAAAGCCAGTTTTTTCCAACTACGGTCGGCCGACCAGCGTTGGAAATTGATACAAAAATACCACTTTTCTTGAACATAATGTCAGCACACCTGGTGCCATGATTTTACAGGATGCTTTAAGACTGTCTTTTACTAACAATCCAGTAATTAGGCACTTCATAATAATTTGGTAGTTTTGTTTTTTGATCTTTGCAAATGTTGTGTATTCCCTTGAACTCTTAGATTTCTAGTTGTCAATTAGTCCAAATGGCTCCCTCCTATTGTGTCTGTCATCTGTCATAATCTGAAGAAGGCTCATTTCATACATTTGACTCTTTTTGTGGGCCTGACCAACGGAAAAGTCTGGTTTAATAATTAACGCTACACATGTACATGTACATTGGCCTTTCCGCTGTGTATAACTCATTGTCTTTGTGCACTGATCACGTGTATGTGTAATGTCACACAGCTACGGTGCCAAATCGGTAGATTGCGTGTCTCGAAGAAGACGATAATGGCCAAGAGGGGATTCAGACCGTGAATTAAAAGGTAAATCTTCAACGAGATGGGTTTTCAAGCAGGGGTAGTTGACAT